CACACAAGGGTAATGTAATACATAACAACATCTAATATAAATGTAAAAAAAAAAACAAAACAAATATTTATACATATATAACAAAGGAACTAAAATTTTAAATTTATTTATTTATAACCGTGATAAAATATAGTATAAATTACTAAATATAAAACTAAAGAACACTCCCCACACAAATATATATATACAAGGATCGTAAGAAGAAAAAAACAAACTTATTTGCTAGATATTTAGTGCATCGTATAAAATTAAAAATAAAAAAATAAAAACTAAATATGTAATACTTTTTTGTTTTGATCAAAGACAAAACCTTATAAACAGCCATTAGATATTAATAAATTGATAATTATTTCATTTTATTTACTAATATTACTAAGAACTTGAACATAAAACAAGAACAACAACAACAAAATGTGACAACAAAAATGCAGAAGATTTAGATGTATAATTATTCCTACTTTAAAGAAAAAAAATCAACAAACAAAAAACAATTACGAGTAAAACACAAAAATATTTTCTAAATTAAGGCTTATATTGCGTGTAAAGTACTAATAATAACAAAAACAACAACATCAACAGTGTAACCTATAACAAATATAAATAAATATATTTCATTTATTTGTATGTATCATTCGAATTTCCATCATATTAATTGGCCATTTTAAAAAAAGAAATAAAAAAGCTGATTTGGAATAATTTTTGGTATATTATTTTTAATTGGTTCTTAGGAAATAGTCGTATTCGTCGTAGATATTGCGAGTTTTAAGCATTTTTAAATATCTAAAATATTTTCCAAAATGGCAAGATTTAACAATTCTATGCAGCTGCATTATATTTCTTGTTATTTTGACGTTAACTAAATCCATGGTAAAATAAAGTGGACATTTTGGAGTAATTCATGGAATGAATGCTCAATATGTATTACTCTTTCCTTTATCATGATTTTAAAGTACATGTATTTTTATTGTAAGAAATCCAAATGGCAGTTTGGAAATTACAAAAATAAAACCACATGTTTTTGTAACCCAAAAACATCTTTGGGAAAATATCTAATAATATGCTTTCTAACAAAAATGGGTATTGAAAGTTTGATAAATTGACCGTTAACACTTTATCTAATAACGGATAAACAGTGAAAGAATGTAAAATACCTTGGCAAGTGTTAAACATGTTTAACTATTTTTAATTAAACACTTTCTTTTTTTATTAAAAAAATCAAACCCACATTAAAACCAAAGATTATTAACAAACCAAGCAAATAATCGTAAGAATATTTCAAAACATAAAAATGGAATAATGTGAAATAATGATGAAATTTGAGATTCTAATAAAACACAAAATAAACAAAAATGATAAACGAAGAAAAAAAGAATAAAAATAATATTAAAAGTAAAACATGTATTTTTTATTAAACGAAGGACTCAGATTATCCCTATAGTAAGTATGTTAAAAAAAATCGGTAAGTCTCAAAATATCTGTCAGAACGCATCAACAAATCTCAAAATATCAGTCAAAATTAGAATAGTTTGCATTTTTCTTCTATAAAATGGAAAATACATTAAGAAGGTAACCCCTTTTTCTACCATGGTAAAATTATTGTTTTACATTTTTCATTCCGTTAGCATATAGAATGCACGCCGACTTTAACCGACTTTATGAAAATTGATTTTGACAATGAGATGTTGTCAAATGTATAACTTTTAAAAAATTGTATACATATGATTGCTTGACTTTACCTTCTTAGTTCTACCATGAAATCCTGATAATGTGGGCTAATCCATATACAATTTTGTATATAAACGCGCTATCAGTTGGATTAAAAAAACAGAACGCTGAAGCTAGAGCATTGTAACTGTGTTGCATTTTCACGCCGAAGCAGGTAGATGATTCAACGCTCGAGAACATTGATATGTTAAAAATTTTAAAGTGTTTTGTCAATAATAAGTAGATTTTTATATCTTTTATTATACGAGGCATGGCTCAATCTGAAAAGTTGCTCAACTTCTAGAAACTAGGAAAAATGCAACTCTATGTCGGAGTCTTATAGCATCAAAAAGAGTTTGAAATATTCAATAATTGGCTTTGTTTTTTGCCAACATTTTTATATTAGAGAAAATCACAAACCACGAATATATAAGATATTCGGTCAATACAGTTCTATCCCAAAATTGTACCATTTGTTGCCCATTAACGGCGAAAATATGTTTTCCGTTGCAACTGAATTCCATATAATTTTTTTCATTCAAAAACCAGTAAAGAAAGTCCTAAAGTCGGGCGGGGCCGATTTTATGATACCCTACACCACTTTGCTAATTTAGTTGAGCTCCACTTAATAATTAAAAGTTTTTATGGGAGAATTCAATCATACACGCTATGATTATAATTATAATTTAAAGTTCAAAGGACTAAATATGCCGAAGCATTTGTATCTTTTAAATTCGGACTTGTATTGCCCATTTGGTGCGAAATTAATTTGAAATTGGATAAAAATATATATGGGAACTATATCCAAATCTGAACCGATCTCGATAAAATTTGGCAAAGATATTTCTGAGCTGTATTTGATATATTTCCCTGAATATCGTTGTTACGGAGTGCATATTACGACTGTGGGTAACAAATACAATAAATCGGATGAACAATATATATGGGAGCTATAACTATATCTGAACCGATCTTCACCAAATTTGGCATACTACCTTCTAGACTAAATTCGGTCGTATGTGCCAAATTCCATTCCATTTGGACAAACATTAGACGTTTGGTGCACAATAAATGGTAAATCGAACGAAGTTATATATGGGAGCTATATCCAAATCTGAACCGATCTCGATAAAACTTAGCAAAGGTATTTCTGAGCTGCATTTGATATATTTCCCAAAATATTGTTGTTACAGAGTGCATATTACGGCTGCGGAGGACAAAAATAACAAATCGGATGAACAATATATATGGGAGCTATAGCTATATCTGAACCGATTTCGATAAAATTTGGCATACTTATTTTCAGCCTTATTTGGTTGTATGTGCAAAATTCCATACTATTCGGGCTGATATTACACGTTTGGTGCACAATAAAAGGCAAATCGGACGAAGATATATATGGGAGCTATATTTAAATTTTTACCGATTATCTCCAATTGCAATAGGGTTCGTCCTTGGGCCAAACAAATGTTCATCTCAATCGGATAATAAATGCGACCTGCATTTTGTTCACAAGAATACATGGACAGACGGACGGACGGACGGACGGACGGACGGACAGACGGACTGACATGCATAAATCAACTCAGAAAGTGATTCTATGCAGATCATCAAAAGGAACTATGGGTCTATCTCGTTTCCTTTTGCATGTTACAAACAAATGCACAAAGACATAATACCCTGACCACCTTGTGGTGTAGGGTATAAATACACACACAAACTCATTGTAGAACTAAGAAGGTAAAGTCAAGCAATCAAATGCTTACAATTTTTTCATTAATTTCATTTTAATTATAATACCAAATTCTGCATTTTCTGTAATTTATATTGTCAAATTTAATGGCATTGAAAAAAGGTTTCCATCACTGTTTTGTGTATATACAATGGATTTGTAAATAAACATTTTGACAATGAAATGCAAAAATATGCTTGCATTACGTTACCTTCTTAGTTCTAACATGCCCTTGACAAAATCTATATTCATAAACCCATAGTATATATACAAAATCGGAGATGGGAACTGTTTTTTATACAGTGAAGTTCGACAAGGTAAATTGCACAGGTAAATTCACAGCTGGGAATTCTTATTTGAATTGAGGCTACCTTTATTTCATTGTACCATGCACCAACTGTGAACATGGTTTCACAGAATAAAGACAAAAAGAAATAAATTTATTTACGAAACAGTTGACAGTTTGTTGTGCTTCATCGGGAGCATTGGTCCAAAATCGAACTAAGTCAACGTAAAACTCCTTTGTTCCTCTGCGAAGAAGCCAGCCGATGACTTGAGCGAGTCAAATAAGCGTTTTACGCATTCTCATCTTAAGTAAAAAAAAAAAATAGAAATATAGCCATGGGGCTATGTCCGCTTGCTGTCAGAATAATTCAAAATTACGTGCAACAAGTTGTTTTCATTTATTTGGTATTTTTGAAAGCAGTTAAATAGCGTGAAAATTGAGTGAAATGCCTGGATTTTCTTTAAAAAACCTATCCAAACTGTCAAATTTTTCAATTCCATGACAAAACTGGTTATTAACTTTAATGCAAGACCCGCAATAAGCGTTTCTTTTAAACATTGATTTTGACATTATTTTGCTTTTATTTTTCAAATACACCTAAGTCTGTTTTTACACGGTCTTTTTGTACACGGTTTTGATATAATACGGTTTGAAAATTGAATATTTTTAATTTTTTTACACTATTTTATTCCATTTAGCACGATTTGAAATTTTATGTACTTAAATTTGTTTGTCAAATTTAATTTTTGCGAACTGGTCAAAGCAAATGTGAATAGCACTAATTTAGGGGAATTCCCTTTATGTGCATACAATAAAATTTACTGGTCAGAGCAATTGAAATGTGTTAATATTTTGTGAACTGTCAATGCAATAAGACGTGTTTGGTAAAAAAAATAAAAAAATTAAAAATTTTTGTTTTTCACTAATTTTAATAGGTTTTAGAGATTAGGAACAAATCACCCATTTTTGTATAAGATCAATGTCTATTTTACACGGTTTTTTTTACACGGCTTCTTCTGGAACCAATCTACCGTGTAAAAACAGACCTAGGTGTACACACACAAAAGTGGCAGAAGTCGGACACACTTGGAAAAGTTTTTAATCAGTTGGTAGCACTACCTTACCTTTTTATTGTACCAAGGTCCTAATTGTGAGGTTTCACAAATTCTTGCTTCATATATATATAACCCACTTTTCTTGTTATTGCTAAACGACACATAACCTACAGCACCCTCTTACACAATGTTTAACGAAATAAGAATAATTACCTTTGAATCACCCTGTCACTCGCAACCCATTTGAATCTGTCAAAATTAATAATATAGCTATTTTGACAGCTACACGTTTGATGGATTTTTGGTAAAGTTTTTTTGGTAGACGGGAGATTTCTGCTGAGCTCCAAAGGTTTGTTTTGATATAGGTAATGAATGACGAATTTAATTAAGCATCTCTGTTTAAATCCTTACTCCTCTACTGTTCTGCAAACAATACAAAATCGCAGTGACAAATAACTGAGCCGCAAACAAAATGGGAGCAGCACATTCATCAGAACCGCGTTCAGTGTCTATGGACAATCCAACGCCTGCCGGTGTTATTGATATTTCCGATGATGTTGTAAATCGTCTAAAAACAGGCATCTCAAAACAAGGTAAGTGGTTGCCAGCATTGTCCAGTCATTAACATGCTTTTATTTGTTTCGAATTGACGCCATGCCACTGACGCTTTTTACCACAAATGAGTGAAAAATTAAAGACAACAGCAATCTTGGTTATGCAACCGAAAAACTATAATGCATAATTTTTTGTTATTTACGGATGTTTCTTTTTATTTGGATAAACAAATGCCACCAACGGAGGAGAGGAGGAGGGTTAATATATGACGTCATGTAACTAATTGAAATAATTTTGGGTTTTGAACATATGAAGTTATCGTATAGGAGAAGAAAGCGTTTATTATGGCCACTGGAATTCCAAGGTTTATATTATGCGTCTGGGACGTTCACAGATATGCTTTAATGTTGTCTGTAAGTGATTGTGGATAACCAATTACCCACCAATTTCCACCCTATGGACCTTATAAAGTGAAAGCTTTATTTAACATTCAACAACTCCATTTAATCATAATGGGGTTTAAACAGTATAACTCCTGGAACCCAGATAGATTTCCGAAATAAATCGATTTTTGTGTTTCATAATGCAATTTGCATCAAATACCTACTATGCATCGTGCTCCAGAGAGCCGATTCATACAAAATTAATTATTGTTCAGTATTCAATTCAGAAATACTATCATTTGGTATTTTAAACACATTGCATACTGTGCGAAGCAAGATTCAAATTGCAATCCGAATTCATATACACATGATTTTGGTACGCTTTGAAAGTAACTGTAGCATATGTCAGTATCATACCATTTGGTGGTTAAAGATCTGATCGTGCAATGACTAGTTACAATATCAAATGTGTTTTCTATTCGTCGGCGTATACATTGCCTTAACTCAGTCAGGAAGACAAGATATGGGCGCCTCAAGATACATTTGGCTGTCGACATGTCACTAGCCTTGTGATTCAACTTCCAAAGTATGGCCTGACCAGCTCAGTGTTTCCCTGTCTTTTGGAGGACCTACCATAAAGATTGCCTTAACCCAGTCAGGAAAACAAGATGTGGGCGCCTTATGATACATTTGACTGTCGACATGTTACTAGCCTTGTGATTCAACTTCCAAAGCATGAGCAGCTCAGCATTTCCCTTTCTTTTGGAGGACCTACCATAAAGATTGGACCTGCATATACCATCTCTATTTCCAATGTTAGTAGAAATATTGCAATGTGCATACTGGTGTACAATTTAGCATTTTATGAGAGTTATGGTTGTTAAACATTTTGACCCTTTGTGAGAGGGAGAGGATCGTCACATTTTAATTTTATAAATTGGTATTGTTTTACCATTTGTAGGGGTAGCAGAAAGGAAGTGGAGCCGCACTATTCATCTAACTTGATCTAAGTTTGACAAAAATATAAGATTGTGCCTGGTTTGGACCGAATCGGATACTCCCTTCGAGAGTTATCTTGAGTCCCCGCAGACATACAACTATTTTTAAGATAGAAGAGGACTAATGTATAAGACTACAATCCATTAAATACAATACAAATAGAAGCCTGGTACAGTATGCTTCGAAGCTTTAACCATTGTAAAGGCCATGTATCGAGGACCGTGTTGAATATAGTTCTGATAACATTACCGATCGATTTGTTCTTATTTTAACTTAAAAAAATTTATAATTTGAAACTCTACAAACCTCACCACACATATTACCAAATAAATAACAAAGCCATTGGCTACAAAAATTAATATCCGTTAACTATTATGAAGCTGAAGCTCTCCACTCAACATATTTTTAATAACATAACTTTTCAGCTTATAAATTAATCGTTCATAACATTGGACACCATTGCATTCCAATTTTTTAAAACTGTGGTATGCGAATACGACAAACAAATATGAAGATATAAATAAATTAACATCTTTTTGGTAACAAAGTGTCGGGTAATTTATTATTTAACCATTGCATTCTAACGCATGCCACTCATTCCATCCTAAGTTTAAAAATTGTGTATTTTTTTTGGGAATAAAACAAAAAAATTGCCTTCCTTAATTTTTCCAGCAAAAGAAAATGCTAAAGCACAGCAGTCATCAACACCACCCCCACCACCACCAAAACAGGAGGTGGCAAAAGCTAAACCAGTTCCACCACCACCAGCTCCAACCATAGTATATCAGAATCCACCCCCAGTGGTATATTCTGCTCCAGCTGGCACAACTTTCAGTGCCAGTGATATGCGTCGTCAGAAAGAAATTGAATTGCAACAAAATGATGCCATGTGGAAACAACGTATGGCCAATTTGGAGCAAACTCTCAAAAAGACCAACGCTATTATGGAGAAGGAATACTCCAGCGCTGTAGAAGATGTACGTAAACGTTTTGCCAGTGCATCTCCTATTCACCAACTGCCACCATGTCAAGATTTGAAAGCACAAGTCATTGCCTGTTATCGTGCTCATCCCGGTGAGACGCTTAAGTGTGCCGAAGAAGTGGCAGCTTTCCGTAATTGTGTTAATTTGAATCGCATTAAGAAACTCGATGCCGAGGAGGCTGCTGAAACAGCGAAGGCTTCGGCAGCAGCTACCAAGGCCAAAGCTGCATAACCCACACGCCTTTAGAAAATCAACAACTTAAGGAAAAAATAAATAAATGTTCCCATTATAAGCAATGAAACAATGTCGAAACATTTGTGGAATTATTTTAGAAGTACTCTAGGACACGGCCTCTTACTTTAGTCCATTTAAAAATAGTTAAAAAAAATACAATACCTCCCACAAAGACATGTTTTTGTTGTATTATTTAGTTACTTTTTCGTTATTATTTAAAATATAAACTTCAATGAGTACTGTCATTCTTGGCCGTGTGGTAATTAAAATACGATCCTGCTAAAGACTTGAGTTAGACTTGAAGTGAACGATAATGATTGATATAATGCTACTTGAAAAGTGATTTATTAAAGAATTATTTCAAATACATAATTTATAACAGAATGTGTTTTTCTTTTATTTTGTACAAAGAGTACATTTCTATAAGTTTTGTTTTGCATGAACATTTTTGGAAATACATACTTTAGCATGGGAGCACTTCTGGATTTTATTAACAAAGTTAAGTCAGTTCAGGTCGGTCTTGGACAGGATTAAAACTGCACCTCATAGCGGGAACCTTCTGCAATTACAGTGACCAAATACTATGAAAGATATTCGATGCCTTATCACTTTGGAACGGGCTATTCTGTCTATCGGTCCATTAATTTCGATAACTCTACCACAAAAGTTCAAAACTAAAAAAAAATCTGTTATTCATAGGAATTGATAGTTAAAATTTAAACAATCATAACCATCAGGAAATACGAAACAATTATCAAAATTTGCAAGCTCAAATATTTTTATTAGCGCTCAACCTGAAAGCAGACGGGGTACAGAAATCCACTTCTGGTAATTCAAAACAATTTAGATACCTCATCAAAAACTTGAACATCATAAACTTTTCACATCATAGGTACTTTTCACATATGCGTCATGTTTGGAATAAACCAGGGTTGATAGTCATATCTTTCATAAAATGCAAATTATTCCCCCAATATTCAAACTTCGCACACTAATTTAATTTTCCCCAAAAAATAGACAAAAGTTTAAAAATCAATAGATAATAATATTAACAATAATAACAGTCACCACTCTTATAAAATGAGAAAGAAGAGTTACCGATTTTCAAAAACCGAACAAGTCAATATTAATACTGAACTCAAATCAAATTCGGAGAAGGGATGTAAGGTATCATGGGCAGAGGCAAGAGCGACTGATAGGTTATTAATTGTTTAGTATAGATCAGATTTTGGTTATGATATAAATTTCGTTTGATATAAATTTGCACAAAACACGATAAACAATATCTTTCCAAAAAATGTCCAATATAGGCCGAGGTCTTAAGCTAGATACATTTTTCATGTGATTGGATTGCAATTAGTATGCTGGTTTGGTAGCATGCCCAGAATTAAAAAAAAAAAAAATATATGCTTATCTAAGCGTAATCCCAAATTTAGGAAATTTCAAAATTAACTGATTTGACAACAATTTCAATTCTTTCATGGTGTATGGAGGGTATATTAAGTTTGTCATTCCGTTTGTAACACCTCGAAACATACACACCTCCCTTTTTCGGTATTTTGATGATTTTAGCGACATTATTCACCGGACTTGTTTCAAACTTGGTATTTGAAGTTCGTACTGGATACTACAGCGTAAGACAGAAAATTGTCTCTGCAGGTCCAAGTCTTCTTATAACCCCATAACGGTACCTCCCGATATTCGATATTTTGATGATTTTAGCGACATTATTCACCGATTTTTTTCAAGTTTCACATTTAAATATTGTAATGGCTTTTTGACAAAAGTTGCCTATGCAAGTCTAGGTCGTCATATAGACCCTAATATAACGGCTACATTCCCTATTTTTAAGAGGCTAACAGAATTTTCGAAGGATTTAATTTTTTTGAAAATTGCCAAATTCGTTCCAAATGGTGGAAGGTATTCAAAGATCGGTCCGACCGAATTTACAGCTTTTTTACTTGTTAATTGTTGTTTTAGTTTTTTTCTTTTATATGCAATTACCAGTTTGTTGATTTCATGGAGCAGTAAAAAGTCGTGCGTCCTAATTTGTCCAGCAATTTATACTAGTTTATTTTGTTTTATTAAAATTAACATTAATACAACTAGGAAGCTTCTTTAATTACAACAATCAACAAACTTAAAATCTATTTAAAATAATTAATTAAACACACGGCCAAAACAATAAGCAATGGCATTGTGGTTGCCGATGCCAGGGATGAGGCGCTACTTCTGCATGTCTCGTCGAAATCCTTTGCTGGACCCATACATCCAGCATAGCTCATAACATATGCCAAATAGTTTTGTTCGAAGACACCCCGCACCAAACTTGATCCGGGGCCATTTGCGAAGACAATAACATCTTCACCACCATGAGACTCATCCTTAAGTGGCACGGTAGCCATGTGGCGATAGTTCGGTGCATGTACCTGTTCAGCTGTTAGAGTGCTTAAGTTTTTCCAGAAATTGAGAGGACTTTGGGCTACGGCGGCTGTATCATTGGCTAAATGATCATAGAAACCAGGACCGTTGGCATACATAATTGTCTCATAGGCCATGGGGTCACTGGCTTTATTGGCAAAACCCAGAATATCATTGCCACGTTTCGGGTAACCATTGAGGGTTACGGAATGTGAGTGATCGGCGGTGACTAGAATGAGAGTTTCATTGGCATTCGTATTCTCCAATGCTGCCTCAATGGCCTGATCGAATTCATAGACTTCGTGGAGGGCAGCATGAGCATAATTCTGATGATGAGCCTGATCGATACGTCCGCCTTCGACCAGAAGAACAAAGCCCTAGAAAGAGAGATGAAAACATGAGAATAGGATATTTTATTTGTAATTATTATTGTTAATATTATTTTAGTAAATATTTTATAAATATTATGTTTTATACGATTAATTTTATTTAATTATTTTCATTGTTATTATTGTTGTTGTAGGAATTATCATTGTTATTACAATTATCAATTTTATTATGGCTATTTTAATTATTATTATTCTATATTATTTATATTCGACTGTCTCTTATTATTGTTGGGGTAATTATTTAGTCTGTTCCCGAAGTACAAGAATGTTAAAATGTTAATTTCGAAAAGCGATTTTCTCTTTATCATATCGAAAAAATTTCAAACATTTTAGATTCATGCAGTTTCTGGAACAGAGAAATGTTGGTTTAACCTATTAAATCTAGTTTAAAATACTCGAATATCACATTGATCCCGGAGAGTATCAACGAAAAATAATTGTTAGCTATGGAAAATGCCTGCCTAGTACTGGGTGAGATGAAAAAACTGCAACCGACTTCGGACTGCTGTCATTTCTAAAATTATTCCAGTGATATATTGTTTACAAGCGTACAATGAAATTTTGGTGAGAATTTTCAAGAAAAAAAGTTATTCCTGATGGAATTCAAGCGTGATAGTGTGATTTCTTTATATTTGGCTGAAAAACAACAAGTGGCTATCGTTAGAGCACTCCAGCATTTAAATTTGAATAAATCTTTTGTGTCTCGTACCATCGCTCGTTATTGTGATACTGGTAGCGTAGCCCGACGTCAAAGAAGTGGAAGGAGGAAAACAGCAACATCAGCAGAAATGCTTCGAAAAGTAAAGAAGTGACTTGATCGAAACCGCGTCGCAGTGTCCGAAAAATGGCTCATGAGCTGAACATATCGCAATATTCCATTCGCAAATGAACTCGAGGTAAAGCCATTGAAATTCCAAAATGTGCAAGAACTTACACCGCAACGGAAAGAAAATAGACTAAAATGAGCTAAAGAGTTGCTTCGCTTGGCCGAAAGTGGTGAACTGCCGAATTTGTTTTTCTCCGATGAGAAAACATTTGTTGTCCAGCAGTTTGTAAACAAACAAAATGAACGGGTTTACTTGCCAAAGAGGTCAGCTGAAAATGTGAACCTTCGGTTGGCCACCAGAACTCAAGCGCCGGCCATGGTGATGGTGTGGGCCGCCATAACAGCCGATGGTCGCTCTTCGCTCGTATTAATCGACCGTGGCATCAGATTAAATGCCGAATATTATCGCGAAAATATTCTGGAGAGTGAGCCTTGGGCTCAGCACCGTCGCACTCAGCAAGCGCCACCCAAGAATGGTTTTTAAATGAGGTTCCTCACTTCATTGCCAGCGCACAATGGAAACCAAAATCTCCGGATACCAATCCGTTGAACTATTGTATCAGAAGTATTTTGGAAAGCAAGGTTGGCACTAAAAAATACAAAAGTGTCGATCACCTCAAGCAAGCGCTTCGCCGGGAATGGGCCAAAATACCGCAGAGCATAATTCGTGCCAAAGGTCAACAATTCGAATAAATCTAAACTTATTCTAAAATTTGATGCTATTTTTGACATTTTTGCTTTCATTCAATAATATTTAAAAAAAAAAAAAAATTAAGAATTGTGGCGTGTGACTTTGTTGCAATTTTTTTATCTCACCCTGTAGCTTCAAACATTTTTATTAAAAATTTTGAACTTACATTGGAATGTTCCCGCTGTAGCACTTCAATGGCAGCTTCAGTCATTTCCTTGAGTGACGGTTCTCCTTCTTCCTTACCAATGGCATAAGTGATGTGATTGTTGCGGAACAAACCCATCAAACGATCAACTTCTTTCAAATCCAATTCATCCAATTCCTTTATGCTTTGTACAAATTCTCTTTTCTCGTTCATATCTTTACCCATTTGCAACCATTGCTTTGGTAAATTCATATCATCACCACGGGAACAGATCTCTTCGGTATCACCTTCCCATGGAATGGTACGTTTTTCATTGGGATTTGTGGCGCCCAAGGGTTTCAGACCACCACCCATGATGACATTGAATTTATTACCCGGTGCATTTTCTATTAATTGTCTAGCAATATCTTTGTGAATGCCTTGCGATTCCATTGGCACCTTTGTATCACACTCCCAATCACGGTGATAGATACGAGCATAAGTAGCTGCCGGTGTGGCATGAGTAATACGTGTGGTTGTCACAATTCCCGTACGTTTGCCCTCGGCCTGGGCCCAATCCATAATTGATGTAAGACGTCCCTGCTGGGCATTAGTCTTGGAGCGTGTTGTGTCCACACCAATGGCACCATAATCGCTTTTAGCGCCACAAAACATGGCCGTAGCTGTGCCAGCCGAATCGGGTACTTGTTTATCAACATTGTAAGTCTAGGGGAAGAAAATAATTTTCACTTAATATTGAAAAAGTTGTTTCCCCAAATTGCACTTACCTTGGCCAAGCCAGTATAGGCAAACTCATCGAATGCCAATTTCTCCTCCTCACCGTGGCCATGTTTCAAATACTGTCCCTTGTAGATGCGTCCCGCTGTTATTGTCGTCAATCCCATACCATCTCCCACAAAAATTATGATATTTTTCGCTTTACGTTTAAAGCCATTCTCTTGATTTTTCATTGCACTCTTTATGACCTTGTCCAGCTGTTTGCGAGCCACATTGAACCAGAAGTTGGCATCTGAAAAATATAGAAATAAATGTTATTTTATAGCATAACTTCTTGGAGCAGACTAAGGAAGTCTTTCAAAGATATAAAAGAACCAAATAAACCATGATTTTTGGCCAAGAAGTCCTTCAATTATAATTCTAAAAAATCTGAAATTCTTGGACAGGAAACGTGGCATGGGGTCAAAATCTTCAAATCATCTTTTTCCAAAATTTGACCTTTAATTGGAAAGGTAATAATAGAATAGGTCAACATATTACCTACACTTTTGATCAACACATATAGTCCCTTCGCCTTATATGGAAATCAGGATTTTTTAAACGTTAGGTATCAGAAGAATAAACCTACATGTCTGACTATTTCGTCGACTACTTTAATATTGCCTTCAGTTTTTGGGTAAGTCCCAATAGCAGCGATAATTTTATCAACAGATCTCTGTGATCATTTTCAATTTTATTCTTGTCCTCTCCTTCGCTTCCGCTACGCTAGTGTGATTAATGTTGACTGTCATAGCCATTAACAATTTCGGCAAAACATGTGACAAGATCGCTGTGTTGATATTTGTAACGTTTTTTTCTTATTTTTTAATTCTCTTTCAATATTACGTAGACCACGAAACGTGACTAGAATATGTATTAACCTACTTAATAGTTCGGGGATTTCTTTTTTCATTTATCATGGGTGGTTCATGTAAGCCTATCAAGTGGAAAGAAAACCAGATTTCATCAAAGACAATTTATGTTTTTTAATTGATCTTTTAATCAAGTATTTGATTTGAATGTATAGCTTGAAAAAAGTACCCCAAGGGGATTTTTCTTTTTTTTTTGCATTTTTAATTTCGCAATACTTTTGTGTCCACGTGAGAAGCTGTTAATTATTTTCAAAAGTAATTAAAATTTATATTTTACTATTTACACTACCGTCAGAACAATCAAATACTTGGTTAGTTAAACCCTCCCCAAGTTTGATGTACTGTTGTTTTCCAGTGTTTGAATTTGTTTGATGCCTGGCTTAAACGTGACATTCATTTTAAGTTTCTTTTGTAGGAATGTCGATTACTTTTAAAAAAGAAATAAAAAATTAAAACACATCAAAACAAACTAATTTAAATATGACAACTAGTTACAGCTCACTATTTGTCGGTAATGTTTTAATTTATATATGTTCCTAATACAGTTGGATCAGTCAAGGTACACTTATACCTGAGCAGAAGAGTTTGTTATAGAAGACCAGCAAGTCTACTTATCAATAACTGGAAGCTGTTCTCTTAGAAGACCAGAAGGTCTTCTATTTATAGAAGACTAAAGGGTGTCCCTCATAGAAGACTATAATTTTCTTGTCTTCTATAAAAAGACATTCTGGTCTTCAGAAACCAGACATTCTGGTCTTAAAAGACCAAAAAGTCTACTGCAGAGACTACCGGATTATCTTTTTCATAGAATGCCTTCTTATAGGAGTCAAGAATGTCTTTCTACAAAAGACTCAAGGGTCTTCTTAAAGAAGACCAGAGGGTTTCTTCCTTATAGAAGACCAGTGGGTCTTTTTCCTTACAGAAGACAAGAGGATCTTATAGATGACAAAAAGGTCATATAGAAGGCCAAAAGGTCTTATAGAAGTCCATCTGTCTTATAGAGGTCCAGCAGGTCTCCCTATAGAAGACCAGAAGATGTTCTTCTTTTGGAAGACAGAGGGTCTTCTTCCTATAAAAGACCAGAAGGTGTTATATTATTGTTATTCTTATTGAAGACTAGAATGTCTTCTATTGGAAGACCCGAAGATTTTCTTTTAGAAGACAAAAAGGTCTTCATTTGGCAGACTAGAAGGTCTTTTTGTGGAAGACCAGAAGGCCTTTGTTTGGAAGACTAGAAAGTGTACTTCTGGAAGACCAGAGGGTTTCTCTTAGGAAAGACCTGAGGCTGAATGTTGTTTTTCATAAAAGACTGGAAGGTCTTCTTCATAGAAGAGAAGAATGCCTTCTTATTAGGGACCAGAATGTTTTCCTATAGAAGACCAGAAAGTACAGGGTGAGATGAAAAAAACTGCAACAAAGTCAAACGCCGGATTTTAGTGGCCATTGTGCGCTCGAAATGAAGCAAGGAACCTCATTTTGTAACCATTCTTGGGTGGCGCGTGCTCAGTGCGATTGTGCTGTCCTGTTGGAATTTCCAAGGTCTGCGGTCAAAATGTTTGCGTGCCCAAGGCTTTAATACACCCTCCAGAATATTTTCGCGATAATATTCGGCATTTATTCTGACCATCGGCTGTTTATGAGGCCCACACCATCACCAGGCCGGCGCCTGAGTTCTGGTGGCCAACCGAAGGTGTACATTTTCAACTGACCTCTTTGGCAAGTAAAATCGCATTTTTTACTTTTCGAAGCATTTCTGCTGATGTTGCTGTTTTCCTCCGTCCACTTTCTTGACATCGGGCTACGCTACCAGTATCACGGTAACGTGCGATGGTAGGAGACACAAAAGATTTATTAACATTTAAATGCTGGAGTGATCTAACGATAGCCACTTGTGGTTTTCCAGCCACATATAAAGAAATTACACTATCGCGCTTGAATTCCATCCCAAAAACTTTTTTTTGGAAAATTCTCACCAAAATGCTTTTGTACACTTGTAAACAATATAATGAGCTGTCACTTGAATAATTTTAACGGCTTTCGGGCGAGTGGCTTAGAAATGAGAGCAGTCTGAAGTTGGTTGCAGTTTTTTCATCTCACACTGTATTTATATCGCATACCATAAAGTCTTCGTCTCATAGAAGACAAGAAGTCTTTGTATAGGAGACCAAAAGGAGTTCTTCTTATAGAAGATCGGATGCTCTTTTTCTTATAGAATACCGGAAGCTCTTCTTCCTATAGAAGACCATAAGTTCTTCTTATAAAAGACCAAAAAGTCTTATAGAAGTCCAATAGGTCTTCTTATAGAGTATCAATAGGTCTTGTTCCAGAAGACCACTATTTTTTCTTATAGAAAATGAATTAGTCTTCTTATTGAATACCGATGAGTCCTCTGATAGGAAACCAAAAGTTCTTATTATAAAGACCAAAAGGTCTTATTATAGAAGGTCAAAAGGTTTTACGGAGTATTATAGATATTTGTTTTTAGAAGGTCTTCTCATAGAAAATACTACAGGATCTACTCATAGAAGACTTTAAGATTTTTTCGCAGTATTACAAGAAAAATTTCTTAAGGTTTTGAAAAATATTGTTTTTTTAAATAAAATTGTTTTTTTCTATATTTTTTAACGGACGCGCCCACTGTTTGGTTTGCTTTTGGAAAGCATTGTCTTTCCGCTTGTACCCATTAAATTGAATAGTCAGGAATGTTATGACGAAATGACTAACTCAGCATTAACGCAAACTTGAAAAAATTCTTATTTGGATAAATATGACATTGCCCGTTATGGCTGCTACTACTTCCCTAAGGCAAATTATGATTTGTTTGCTATGTTAAATTAAATAAATAATTGTTTTTGTTTGATGATAGATAAGAATGCGTATAAATTTTTGAATAAACAATTTATAACTACTTAGGGCATGCAGATTTTAACTAGACTAAAAAGGTTTTTTTGAACAATAACTGTTTCGATTGGTTTCGATTCAAAATTTATAAATAATTTCGTTATACTCTTATATTATATAATTGACCTATCAGAATTAAATCAATTATGTAATGCCATCACTGGTACCATTTCTGCTTAACATCTGACAATATTTTCGGATAAATATCAGACAAAAATTTTTGTATGTTGTTTGGGAATTGTTCGTCTTTATATAACATTTGTCTCCTATTCTAACGTAAACACATGAATTAACTAAATTTATGAGCTTGTATTGGAAAATAATCATTTAAAAGTTGGGGAATATTCCCTTCAACATCAAAATAAAGATCAATTCTATAAGAGATTGACCAAAAATCCTTATAAAGTCTGTTTCAAAGGCTCCGAACTTAGGACCTTTCACTTTCAGAACAATACTCCACGAGTTCTGAAAGTGAATTGTAGAACTTCTTCTCTTAAACTACCTAATCTCATCTGATATAGACATAATGTGTGGTAAAAACTATCATTAAACAGACGTACAGGGTAAGCTGAAAAAACTGCAACCAACTTCAGACTGCTGTCAAGCCACTCGTCCGACAGCTGTTAAAATTATTCTAGTGACAGCTCATTATATTGTTTACAAGCATACAAAAGCATTTTGGTGAGCATTTTCAGAAAAAAACACTTATTCGTGATGAAATTCAAGCGTGATAGTGTGATTTTATTTTATTTGGCTGGAAAACCACAAGTGGCTATCGTTAGAGCACTCCAGCATTTATATGTGAATAAATCGTTTGTGTCTCGTACCATCGCTGGTTACCGTGATACTGGTGTAGCCCGACGTCAAGGAAGTGGACGAAAGCAAACAGCAACATCAGCAGAAATGGTTCAAAAAGTAAAGAATCGACATGATCGAAACCCGCGTCGCAGTGGCCGAAAAATGGCTCATGAGCTGAACATGTCGCAATATCCCATTCGGCAAATATTGAAAACTGAGCTCGGGGTAAAGTCATTGAAATTCCAAAAAGTGCAAGGAAGAAAATAGACTCAAAAGAACTAAAGAGTTGCATTGCTTGGCCGAAAGTGGTGAACTGCCGAATTTGGTTTTCTCCGATGAGAAAACATTCGTTGTCCAGCAAAACTGCTGTCAAAGAGGTCAGCTGCCAAAAAGTTAGCTGAGAATGTGCACCTTCGGTTGACCACCAGAACTCAAGCGCCAGCCATAGTGTTGATGTGGGCCGCCATAACAGCCGATGATCGCTCTCCGCTCGTATTAATCGAAAGTGGCATCTGAATAAATTCTGAATATTATTGCGAAAATATTTTGGAGGTTGTATTAAAGCCTTGGGCACGCAAACATTTTGGCCGCTGTCATTAGATGTTCCAACAGGACTCAGCACCATCGCACTCAGCACGCGTCACCCAAGAATGGTTACCGTAATTCGTGCCAAACGTCATCAATTCGAACAAATCTAAACTTATTATACAATTTGATGCTATTTCCTATATGTTTTGCTTTCATTTAATAAAATTTAAAAAAATTTCAAAATTATGGCATTTGACTTTGTTGCTGTTTTTTTAATCTCACCCTGTATATTACCATACGGGATAAAAAACTAATTTCATGTCTATTCAGCACTTTTGATTTTTCGTGGCTATAATAAGCCAAATAACAGCATATTAGGCTTATTTAATTAAAAATTGTTTCTGTTTCTTGCCATATAAACTTAAAATACAAAAACAACCCACAAAAGTACCTGAAATAATCGTTAAGAAAAAAACTTAATGTCAACGAGAACTAATTATGTCAATGATATCGTTTAAAAATGAAAAACACTTGATTTAATCAAAACGTATTAACACAACACTTGATGTTTAAATCGGAAATAAAACTGTTTTTATTTTTCTTTGATTAAAGACAGCTTGGATGTCACCGATTTTTATTAACATTTGTAGGCTCGGAATGGAATGTTTTCAATTAGAATTGATGTTTAATGTGTACTCTATTTATTTACAACTTTCGTTAATTATCTGTAAATAACAATTAAGTGTTAATTTTTCGTGGTGATGTTTATTTGTCAATATTTTATGAACAACTTCATAGTATCTAAACGTCGTTTATATCTCTTTTACATTGTTGTAAGCAATGTTGACTTTAATTTGTTTAGTGAAATAGTTAGTAAAGCAATAAAATAACACACTGGCCAATTAGAAATTTATCATTATTAACACATTCATGTTTTTCGAACAGAATTCCTAAAAATACTCTTATAAAATCTCAAATTCATTTTTAAAAAAATCTCTGTTTGCTTAAAAGGGCTTCTATTTTTTTATTAATAAATTTCCGATTTTTGAAGAAAGTCCTTGAATTTATTAAATACTCAGTTCAGGTTAGAAGGCCTTGAAAAAATTATTCTTAAAAATCAAATTTATATAGTAAAAGTTCTTAAAAATATTAATAAACAATATTCTCGGCCAGAAAGTTATCTACGTTTATGATATCTTTAAAAAAAATCTACAGTTCTTGGTATGAAGTTCTGAAAAATTAAAATTCTTGACAGGAAGTCCTTAAAAAATATGGCTAAAGTACAAAAATGGTAGAAAATTTGTTCATTCCCTTAATTTTTTTATTTTCATTTTTATATACGACTTTTTCCAAAACTTTATTTAAATTTGAAAAATATTTAAAATCAGAATTAATTTGAATAAAAATCAATCAAAACGCAAAGCCTATCGGTTTAGGATTCAGGATTTTTAAATTTGTGGCTATTAATAGATCTAAATATAGTAAAGATAATTGAATGACAATCGTCGACTTATTTAACATATTTTGAGTGCTATGAATATTAAAGATTTAACCTTTTGTGGGTATTGGTAGCGGACCTTTATTTTCTTTTTTGAGTTTTTGCCCAAAACGACAATACTTTTTTATGTATCAACTTGAAAAAAGGCAAAAAAAAAAAATTGTAAAATATTGTGTTTTTAATATTTATAAATTCCTTGCGTTTGGGTATGATTTTTTGGTTTTGATGTATTCTGGGACCTTTAATGGAATTTCATAATATATTATATAGTAGAATATTTTAAGAAATCCTAATCCGAAAATGTTAACAAGGATTGAAAATCGGAAATCTTGCCCCCCATTTAAGTTACTTTGCTATATAAACTTTCAACACGGCGATATACGTGCCTGGTAGTCTCAGCTCTACTTTCAAAATTTACTTGAGGTTGATGGTATAACCATATGGCTACAGAGGGTCCGGCCTCACGGACCAAATCCGTTTCAGCACATTTGGAGTCGATCTAGCGATGTCCGTCCGTCTGTCTGGACGGAGTATCAGATTTGGTCTAAACATGGTACATCATAATATTATTATCAAACTTAGATCGAGTTTGGAGATGGACAATACGGGCCACTCCTTCTAGTACCTTCTCCAGAAAAGATCGAAATTTTCAAAACAAAAATATTTTACTGCAGAAGAAGAGAAAGGATAATCCGATTTTGCTAAATTTGAAAATGAAAAAATATATCTGCGATCTCCATCTAGTACCTCAACCACAAGGGTTACAATTTCCAATACTTTGAATACCCTCCACCATTTGGAACGAATTTCGCAATTCTCAAAAACAATAAAATCCGTTAAAAATGCTGTTAAAATCTTAAAAACGACGAATGTAGCTGTTATATTAGGGTCTATACGATGACATGGACCTGCATAGGTAACTTTTGGCATAAGCCATTACTATATTCAAATGCAAAACTTAAAAAAATCGGTGAATAATGTCGTTAAAATCATCAAAGTACCGAATATCGGTAGGTACCGTTATATGGGGGCTATATGAAACGTGGACCTGCACAGACAATTTTCTGCCTTAGGCTGTAGTATCTATTTCGAACTTCAAATGCCAAATTTAAAACAATTCCGGTGAAAAATGTCGCTAAAATCATCAAAATACCGAATATCGGGAGGTACTGCCATATGGGGGCTATACCAACACGTGGACCTACATGGCCCATTTTTCAATACCAAAAATTCTGCAGACATAGTATACATTTGAGTAAAATTTTATCAATCTATTTCATTTCGTTCGGAAGCTAGAGTGATTCCTACAGACGGACGGACATCGCTATATCAGTATAGAATTTAATGCTGATCAAGAATATATATATACTTTGTGGGGTCCTAAATGTATATTTCGAGGTGTTACAAGCGGAATGACAATCTTAATATTCCCTCCATACTATGGTGGAGGGTATAACATTGGAATACATCGGTCGACTATATCTGGTAACTCACGCAAATTTTAACATTTTCTAAAAATTATCACATATCTCATATAAAGAGAAGGAAATAACCAATGTAGTCTAAACCTGGCACATCGCAATATATATTTCATATTTATCTTGAGAAATGGTTGTTTATCGGCCTTTTTATTTGATTTATAAATAATACAATTTTTTCGAGCTTTAGGCCATTTTCGGATTTATTTTATTGATTACAATAATATGTTCCCAATATTTCGCAATTATCAAATTGCATCTTCAGGGGCAATATTTACATAAAATAGTCTGATTTACTTAACAGCTAATGTAGTTTTTACTCGACACTTGACAAAGAAGAGATCGTGCAATACGTAGAAATAATCAGTGCAATAATAACACCAGACAATGGTAGTAAAAACTACATTAGCTGTTAAGTAAATCTGACTATTTTATGTACATATTGCCCCTGAAGATGCAATTTGATAATTGCGAAATATTGGGAACATATTATTCTAATCAATAAAATAAATCCGAAAATGGCCTAAAGCTCGAAAAAATCTTATTATTTATATTTCATATTTATTTAGGTCCAGGGTCAACAACTTGAATAATCCTAAACGAAGTTAAAATATATTTAAATAATCGAATATTGGCTGAGGGTGTACATCTGTCGGCAAAACCGACTGATACTGTTTAACTTTTTTTGTGTAATTTGGAAACATCAAACAGATTTTCCTAAATTCAATTAACTACTTCTGAATTTGAAATGGCATATTTGCATTTAAAGCGCACTATTTATCAATTGACTCGCTTTACTTATGCTTTATGCTCAATATTTATTTTTTTCAAGTTTTTCTTTGCTTTTTTTTCAGTTTGAAAACACTTGACTTTTCACCTACCTTCAATTGGCTTTTCCGTTTCATTTTCGTCGTCCTTGCCATCCCTATTGCGATGGATTGCCTGGGTGACTGGTTTGGTGGTCGTTGTAGTAGTTGATGATGTTTCATTCAGCGATAGAAATTCAGGACCCACATCAGTAGAATTCAAGGTATGAATTATTGTGGGTGGTTGCAGAGTCGATACCGCTCCATACGTCCACTGGACCATCAACACAAAACAGGCAAAATATAGGAATTTCATTTTTTCGAACTTTATTAAAAATTCCCGTTTACAATTATATCACAGTTTGTTGTGGTTTTTAATTTTGCAATTATTTAAAATTAAAACACAAATTTAGTTACTGCTCTGCATTAAGGAAAAATATGCAAAACACACGAAATGTTAAACAGTTGTGACACCGCAGTCAAAAAAAAAAGAATTATAATTTATTAACGCGTCTGAGCTTCACGTTTTCGAATTCTTCCGCTTAACGTAGTTCTGTTCGCGCTTTTCTCCTCCAACTAATCAACCTGCACTGAGTGGAAGTGAATAAATCTGTCGCTTAGCTCGCAATGTAGGCAGCTGCTGCCGATAGGCTGTTGTGGTGGTGAGAGGGTGTTAGTACGCTTGTCTTTAGTTGAAAATTCGAAACGAACGTCGTATTCTCGAGTTGTGTGAATACCGGCGTTTAGCAGCGTGAGTAGCGCTCTCTAATGGTTCTACTGCGACTATTATCGTCTTAAGGTTACAACGACGTTTTAATAGTTCTTCTTTAGCTAGACATTCTAGACATCGGATAACAATACCCCCATCAAACAGCCATTTACAACCTGACTAATAAAAAACGGTGCTTTTTGTTTGTTTGGAAAATCATCTCAATATAGATATACGAAGATTTTTTATATGTACTTCACTGTATCTATGTACGAAGATATGTATGTACGTAGAATAAGTTGATCTAACAGCTGACAAAGTGATTAGGTTGTTTTTTTTTTTATTTTCATCTCCATTGCTAATCTGTGTTCATCGTAATTGTGAGTGGTGGTTTGTTGGACATGTTGGTGTTGGATTGTTCGTGTTTGCCTGCACAGAAGAAAGTGATAGCGTATTCTTTCATTGCAGTGGCATGTGACATTGTCACCCACATTCAAATGAAGCTAAACGATCACAGATTAACACTTGGATTTTTTTGGGGTGGATTTATTTGCTGTAGTGAGTTCTAAAGTTATTTATTGCGACTAGGAGCTTCAAGTTGTTTAAGGAGGTCTGAGGGAAAATATTCCAACGGTTACAAATATTTCAATAACTAGTACAGGGTTGCCCATATTCGACGGAACTTAGGGCCCTTGGGCCCATTCCAATCGACGAGGCTTGTCCGCAGGCAACATTCTTTGCGTCAATTGAATTTTGTACGGGAACAAATGCAAATCAATGCGATAATCCCTTGTAAAGTGGACCGAGCCATGCCCAACTGCTGAGAACGTCGTTTTTGGGATGTTCTTGGGGACCTCTCAACACTGGCTCGATATTCTCGGCCGATCGCCTTGGTCGACTTTTATATGGCCTCTTCGGATTAGAAAGAGCCTTACCAGTCGAAAATTCTTCGTATAAATGCTTAATGGTGTTCTTAGAAGGTGCACTTCTCACATTTTTTAATGTTTTAAAAGCACGTTGAGTTTTCACAATTGACTTCTTGTAAATTTCAACTATTTCAGAGCGCTCGCGTGGCGTGTATTGGTTCATGGTAAAAATCTGCTTGGACTGACGCTTCAAACGCGATGCGACATCTCTGTCAAAAGTTATGGCGTTGCCAGATGGGTCCGTCGAATATGGGCAACCCTGTATATATTTATGTCAACACAAGAACTCTAGAAGTTTTAGATTTGGACCATATATTTAGCTGGGCATTGCCAATGATTAATAAAATAAGTAAAACTTGGTACGGAGGGGACAAACGTAGGGCGGGGCCGATTATAATATTTCCTATTATCGTCAGGAAAAATCTATACAACATTTCAGAGTTCTCTATATTCGCAATATCGAGTACTTTCCATACCTGTTTCTAAAACACATTCACAGCTATTAGATGCTTCTATACGCATGATAACATATTTAGTACCTTTTTGTACTTTTCGTTTTCTTTGGTACGAATATCGATAATATTTGTTGGTACATGTTTTTTGTTTAAAATAGCCAAACATATATACAACAAAGCGGAGAGGTAGCTCTACGCGGTCAATTTATAAGACTGCAAAAGTATATTTCATTACTTTTCATATTCTTTTAGTAAGAATTTCCAAAACCACCTTTTATGCATTTCAAATTTCCAGTTCCATTTATTTACCTATGAGAATCGGTTCAAGTTTAGATATTGCTCCCATATATATCAGTAACCAATTTCGGGTTAATTGTGCACAAAATGGTCAAAAATCAGTTCAAATGACCTAAATATTGGCACAACCGACCAAATTCAGTCTAGAAATAAGTAAATCAAATTTGGAGAAAATCGGTTCAGATATTGCTATAGCTCCCATATATATGTTTCATCCGATTTGGGAATTTAAGTCACTTTTAATCGTAATATGCACTCCACAGGAATGATATCTGGTACCAGATAACTTATGGGGCTCAAAAATACCTCTGTCAAATTTTATGGAGATCGGATCAGATTAGGATATAGCTCCCAGATATATCTTTTTCCGATTTAAGGTTTATTGTGCACCGTATAGCTAATATCAGCTCAATTGACTGAATTTTGGCACTTCCGACGGAAGCCATCCTAGAAACAAGTACTTAAAATTTTGTGAAAATCGATTCAGGTATAGCTGTAGCTCCCATATACATGTTTTATCCAATTTGGTGTCTTACTCCCTCATATGCGTGAGGGATATCAGATAAAGCTCAAAAATAAGTGTTTACAATTTCGTCCAAATCAGCTCAACTGTGGATATAGCTCCCAGATATAGGGTGAGATAAAAAACTGCAACAAAGTCAAACGCCATAATTTTTTACATTTTTTTTTTAAATTTTATTGAATGAAAACAAAAAATGTCGGAAATTGCATCAAATTTTAGAATTAGTTTAGATTTGTTCGAATTGCTCAGCTTTGGCACGAATTATGGCCCTCAAACGGCCAATGAAACCGTCACATGCTGCCCGAATGTTGGTCTGCGGTATTTTGGCCCAATCCCGGTATTTTACCACTTTGGTATTTTTTAGTGCCAACCTTGTTTTCCAAAATACTCCAGACACAATAGTCCAACGGATTGGTATCCGGAGATTTTGGTTTCCATTGTGCTCTGGAAATCAAGCGAGAAACCTCATTTTAAAACCATTCTTCGGTGGCGCGTGCTGAGTGCGATGATGCCAAGGCTTTAATACACCCTCCAGAATATTTTCGCGATAATATTCGGCATTTATTCGATTAATACGAGCGAAGAGCGACCATCGGCTGTTATGGCGGCCCACATCATCACTATGGCCGGCGCTTGAGTCCTGGTGGCCAACCGAAGATGCACATTTTCAGCTGACCTCTTTGGCAAGTAAACACGATAATTTTGGTTGTTTACAAACTGCTGGAGAACGAATGTTCCCTCATCGGAGAAAACTAAATTCGGCAGTTCATCACTTTCGGCCAAGCGAGGCAACTCTTTAGCTCTTTTCAGTCTATTTTCTTTCTGTTGTGGTGTAAATTCTTGCTTTTTTTGCAATACCAATGGCTTTACCCAGAGCTCATTTTTCAATATTTGCCGACTAGAATATTGCGATATGTTCAGCTCACGTGACATTTTTTTCTGGAAAATTCTCACCAAAATGCTTTTGATGATATAATGAGCTGTTACTGGAATAATTTTAACAGCTGTCGGACGAGTGGCATGTAAGTGAGAGCAGTCTGTAGTTGGTTGCTGTTTTTTCATCTTACCCTGTACACTCAAAATAATACCATTTGGGAATCTCTGTAATAATTCATTGAATTCTGTTCGAGTACCTCAACCAATGCCTACAGCGCAACAGTCTGGGTTTGTATATTTTATTGTTGTTGTGACAGAACAAGTAATAAAATAATTCAACTGGAATTTGTTGTTGTTATATGAATATTTAAGAAATGCAAATCTTATTAGATCGGTGCACATACTTACATACTGTAATCCAAATATAATTGAGGTGAGCTTTAAAAAGATCACCTTTCATTGAGTGAAAATCCCTTAAAATGTATGTATGTATGTGTTTTAAGTGTGAAAGTTGTTTTCACGTGACACATGAAAGGGGGAAAAGTGAATACTAAAGAAGATATTTTGTTTTAATAACATGTATAACTATATAAAAAAACTTAATAGAAAATGCTCCACTTTTTTCGAAGACAAACAAGCAATTCAAGATCAATTTGAAAATATTTATAAAATAATAGAACTATAACTCTAAAATAAAAACAAAATAAAATAAAATATGTGATCCAGGTGTGTGTGTGTGTGTGTATGTCTACTTGTATATAAATTATAGTTTACTAAAAATTAAAATTGCATTTTAATGCATACCCCATAAAGATTAGAGCGAGGGGAGATGTTGTAAGTATCTACAGGAAAATTGACAAAGCCCCATCATTGCACATCTTGAGTGCATGGGGGAAAATTACTCCCCAAACGCCCAGCTGCATTTGAAAGCATTTGACGTGTCACTTATTCATATTTCCAACGTGCAATTAAATATTTAAACAGTTGCAATAAACAGTGTGAAAATAAAAAAAGAAATATTATCTAAATGAGGTGAAAATCGACACTTCTCATAGGAATGTAAAATTGCATAGGTTTGTGAATTATCGTGTTGATGTAATAAGTGTTGTAAATGTCTAGTTGTCGTGTCTAGTAGAAAGTAGATGATTAGATTTTCACACTGTCGATTTAAAATAGAAGCACATATTGAAAAGTACTTTCTTTAGGAAATATTTATTTTATTCTAATTCTCTGTTTCCAAGGGTGAACAATTTAGTTCTTCAAAAGACAAATAGAAATGGGTTGTTTCTGAGAGAAATCATATATACAGGGTGAGATAAAAAATGCAACCAATTTCGCAACTGCTGTCATTTCTAAGCCACTCGTCCGAGAGCTGTTAAAATTATTCCAGTGACAGCTCATTATATTGTTTACACGCGTACAAAAGCATATTGGTGAGAATTTTCCAGAAAAAAGTTATTAGTGAGGGAATTCAAGCGTGATAGTGTGATTTCTTTATATTTGGCTGGAAAACCACAAGTGGCTATCGTTAGAGCACTGCAGCATTTAAATGTGAATAAATCTTTTGTGACTCGTACTATCGCTCGTTACTGTGATACTGGTAGCGTTACCCGGCGTCAAGGAAATGGACGAAAGTCAACAGCAACATCAGCAGAAATGGTTCGAAATGTAAAGAAGTGACTTGATCAAATCCCACGTCGTAGGTTGACACTAACAAATACCAAAATGTCGGTCACCTCAAGCAAGTGTTTCGCCGGGAATGGCCCAAAATACCGCAGATCAACATTCGGGCAGCGTCGGACGGTTTCATTGGCCGTTTGAAGCCCATGTGCCAAAGGTGACCGATTCGAACAAATCTAAACTTATTCTAAAATTTGATGCTATTTCCGACATTTTTTTTGCTTTCATTAATTAAATTTAAAAAAAAAAAATAAAAATTATGGTGTTAATAAAATTTGTGTTAAATAAAAGTCAAATTTTCCATTAAACCGCGAATATTCTTAATATCGG